GTCCTGGCCGGGTCGCAGGACTGGGAGGCTGCGGCCTCTCCACGCTCCAGCCCTGGCCTGCTGCGTCCTTCCCCGCCCCCTTCTCTGTCCGCTTTCCCATCCTTAGGGTGCACACTGGGCTATGCGGCTCGGCCGATGATGCCCCCTGAAGTGGTGGGCACGGGCTTGGCAGGTAGTAGGTGCCCGAGGAACAACAACAATAACAAAAACCAGTAAAAGGGCTGGGGATTTAGCTCAGTGTTTCCACCGCCTGCCTCGCAACCGCAAGGAACCGAGTTCGATCCCGGTACCCCCTCAAAAAACAAAACAAAACAGAACAAAACCCCCAAAAGCCAAAAAACAAAAAACACAGAAAACCGGGTTCGAGACCAGCCTGGGCTACATGGTAAGTTCCAGGTAGGTTTCAACTACATAGTGAGACCCTGTCTCAAAAAAACAAACAGAAGAAAACCGGAAGTGCACCGGCTGCCGGCTGCCGAGTGCTCCGCCCGCTCCACCCCACAGAGGGGCTGGCGCTATTGTCATCACTGTCTTCCAGAGGGGAAACTGAGGCACGGAGGCTGTGTGTCTGGCTCCTGAGGCCCCTGTGCAAACGCATCAGTCCTGGTCCTTCCGAGGCTCTGACTAGAAAGGAGCGTGTGTGTGTGTGTGTGTGTGTGTGTGTGTGTGTGGTGTGTGGGGTGTGTGTGTGTGTGTGTGTGTGTGCGTGAGTGCGCGCGTCCACAGGCAGCCGGCCGCTCCTCTTCCCAAAGCCCTCTTTCTTTTCTTTTATTTTTGGTACCGGGGGACTCAGGACTCTGCAATTGTGAGGGAGGCGGCAGAACCACTGAGCCAAATCCCTGGTCCCGGAAGCCCTCTTGTCAAGCTGCAGGGACAGGAGAGCCCATGAGACCCAGGGTGGCCAGGGCAGGCGGCTCTTAGGCCACTCCTACCTCGGACGAGTCCTTTCTCTCACTGTCCCCTCCCTCCCCTCCCAGGGGCCCTCATGGGGTATGCAGTGGGGCACAAAAGCTGGGGTGAGGCGGTCCCCCAGGAGCAGCAAGGCGGCCTGGGTGTGCATAGCTGGTGCCCTGGTTGAGTTCAGATGTCCCTGAGTCGGGCTCCGGTGCTGTCTCCCCCATGGTCCTGCAATAAGTGATATCCCCTGGGGGCCGTGATCCCACGTGCCTCAAGACACAATGACAAACCCTTTCCATGTGCTTCCAAAAATGTGGAAAACATCGAATTATGAAAGCATAGATCACAGCCGGGTGTGACGGCACATTACCTGTAGTCCCAGCTACTTGGGAGGCTGAGGCAGGAAGATCACTTGAGCCCAGCAGTTCAAGGCCAACCTGGGCGACAGTGAAATTCCATCCTGAAACAAAACAAAAAGAACTGAAAAGGGGAGAAAAAGCAAAATCTATATTGCTAACTTTGACACCCTGTCCACACACATCTTTTTTGGAGAATAACTTGATTGAGCTATCACTGATGTCTCATAGGATTCATCTGTTTATAGAGGGTCAAGTTTAGGGCTTTTTGTTATCCCTGCACAAACCCTCTGCACACGAGCTGCTGTGGCCCTTCCTCCTCTCCTCTTGGGCAGCCGCCCATGGCTCTGTCTGCTGTACCATCCCCCACACATGGACTCATACATCATGGGGCCTTTGTTGTTTGTGTTTGTTTGACAGGGTCTTGCTATGTAGTCCAGGATGGCACTGAATTCTCGGTGATCCTCCTGCCTCAGTCTCCCCGGTGCCGGCATCACAGGCGCGCACCCCCTGGCATTCTGAGGCGTTAATAACTTCATCGATAACCATGGTGCCCAGCACACCATGGCCTTGAGGCGGTGGACACTTCTCGTTAATGTTACCCTGCTCTGCATTGCTGCAGACCATGCCCGCCAGTACATCACCCCTTCCCGGCCGGTGTCCCTGTCCCTGATCCCAGGTGTTGGATCAGCCCGTCCTGTATCCTGGGTGGCAGCGGTGACCTGATGTTTGCTTTCTGTTTACCCTGGAGGCGTCCAGGCCTGCATCGCCTGATGAGCTCAGTTGCATCTCCTGAGGCGCTGTGTGACCTCAGGGCAGTCACCAGCTTCCCCTGGCCTCAGTTTCCCTAGGAGATGAGGGCACTGTTGCCAGCTGGGCGTTTCGGGTGGAGAGATCACAGCAGCTCAGCCCCGGGCCTGAGTTAGGGCTGCAGGAGCAGGCGCCGTGCCCCTTTTCTGTCTTGGCTGGAAACTTGTTTGTTTATTTTGAGTCAGGATTTGGCTGTGCAGCCTAGGCTGGCCTCTGACTCCCGGCCATTTTCCTGCCTCAGCCTCCTGAGTGCTGGGATTACAGGTGTTCACCACCACACCTGGCTTTCCTGGTCCCTCTTTCTAAAGCCATCCAGCCTACTTTCATTTTGTTTCTCAGCCCTGGTCACACACTCATCCCTCCGGTCCCCTAGGTACACCCCCCTCTCCACTCGCCCTGAGGGGACTCTGGGACTGGACTTTTGCCTGTGTCATCCACAGCCCAACCCCCAGGCCTGAACAGGGCCTGGCATACAGTAGGTGCTCAATACTTACGGCCTACACAATGCCGAATGGAGTGAATAGAAGGATAAAGAAAATTCCGGTGTGATCATGGAGCAGTGCACGGAGCACTGGTGCCCCTGAGTGACCTCACCACCCTCCCCAGCCTGCTTGTTTCCTGCTCCCCATCTCTGAACACACCCCCTAAACCAGAAGCTCCTCCACGGCCTGCAGAGCCCAGCAACAGCAAAGCCCAGCTTGGAAGCCCTGTTCAAGGGTGATACAGGGCCACACTCATGCCTCCCTGGTACTACCTTTGTTACTTCTAGTAATATGACCAGGACTTAGCTGGACGTGGTGGGGCACGCCTGTGATCCCACACTTGGGAGGCTGAGGCAGGAGGATCACTGCAACTTTGAGGCCAGCCTGGACTGCATAGTGAGATCCTCTCTCAAAAACAAAATGAAAAAATAAAAATAAAAGCTGTTATTCTATATCCAACTGCTCTGCAGCCAGTGCCTGAGGAAGTTCTACGGCTATTTTCATGGGACACGCACTCCATGAATCAGGCCTTTCTCACGTCGGGGGACTGAGGAGGCACTCAGGAGGCTGAGACAGGAAGATGGGCAGGAGTTGGAAGCCTCCCTGCAGGACTCGGCCCGGGCTCCTCAGTTTTCCTCACCTGGCTCTGGGCCGCTGATCGATTTGGTAAAGAGCTCACGGAGTCCCCTCTGGACAATTCGATGTTGCCCCTCCCAGCCCTGCGTCATCTCCGAATGTGACAAACAGCCTGGTGGTGGCCACGCGGCCAAGGTCAGGACACAATCTCCCCGGGCTGCCATCCCCACCTACAAACAAGTGACGGGGGTGGGGGGGCTTTGTCCTGGCTCATTGAGAAATCTCCAGCTTTGTTTGTCTTTTGAGACAGGGTCTGGCTGTGCAGCCCAGGCTGGCCTCAAACTCATATCCTCCTGCCTCAGCCTCCCGAGGGCTGGGATTACAGGTGGCACCACGATGCCCGGCTGTGGCCATGACTTAAGTCTCTTGGGCCCGCAGCATCCAGTCAGAAAGTCCTTCCACACTGGGCTGGGTGCTGGACTGCTGGGCAAGGCACAGTCCTGAGAGCGGCTTCCCGTCACCGGCCTCCTGGGCCTGCGGAGTGAGTGACACCGCACCCAGGCCCCCCGGCAAGTCAGGACAGCCAGCCGCCAGCTGGGCAGAGGATGGTGAGTCAGCGCTGCCGGATGGTGGGCCCCGGAGGTGTCAGGGACGGCCGCTGACTGAGCCGTCTGTCAATTGGCACCTCTGGGCTTCCCACCATCCTCGCCTCAAAGGCTGGAACCGGGCAGCTGCTGTGTGTCCTCGGGGAAGCCCCTCAGCCTCTCTGATTCTGTATCCTCTGTGGAATTTCTGCTGCCTTGCTGAGTCGCCCCCTTTGCAGCGACAACAACCAGCAAACATAGGAACCTCGTTCCAAGTGTGGGGCAATGGCCCTGCTGAGCCCCAGCAGCCCCACCCGGAAGCAGAGGTTCAGCCCTGTCTCCCAGGACAGGGGTCGGCACGGAGAGGCTAAGAGGTCAACCAAGGTCGCACAGCCAGAAAGTGACAGAGTGCTTCTCATCAGCAGAGTCAGGCCCTGCGTCTCTACTCAGTCTGCTGGGCCTCTGTGCCAGAAATCCTACGATTGCTCACTGACTGCTGTTTCTCTGTAGCGAGATTACTTTTTTTTTTTTTTTTTTTTTTTTTTTT